ATCACAAAAAAAAATAATTTGAAAACATATCCTAGAAAGTATTTTTTACCAACGATCATATAAGAAAAAGCTCATCCCCGATATCTCAGAGGTTAGTTTCTCATACACCTGTTGAAAAGGAACGTTGGACTCCCTTCTTTCTATATATCAGGGAGGACAAAGAGCATGCTTTAATACAGTGTATGCTTTAAGCACAGTGCTTGCTTTTCCCTCTAAAAAGGCTCCTAAAAAAAATTTTGGGCTCTGCACATTTACTTTGCCCCAAATTTTGCAATCATGCTCGCTTGCACCCACCAAAGAAGTACCTTGAAAAGTATGGTAAAAGGAACCTGATGGTGGCCTTTTTAAGAAAATTAAAATATGACAAATATAGGTTGCGCGTCTTAGGGGGTAAAAAAAAAAAAAGAGACGGTGCTGGCCATGTGATTCCCTAGCCAAATGCTGCTCCTGCTTGAGGGAACAATTGTTTCATGCGGGGTTGAACTGCGTTTCTACAATATGTGGCCTTGAGTATAAAGCATTCATGTTAAAGATGGATGCAAATAACTAAGGTTCAAATGTTTTTTAAAACATAATTATTATTTATAGCTTTTAAATTTTTTTTTTCATATTCATGGTCTCTTTGTTAAAAATCATATGTACTCTAAAAATTAAGATCAAATTATATTTAAAAAATATATTCTGTATTTCTATAATATGCGGGGTGGCCACATTGTGACCGCGTCCTTTCGAGGATGAGAAAATCCACTCTCTTCTTCCCTCCGTTGGAGAAAGGGTCGCGCGTTATGGACTGTGGAATGCGCTTTCATCTTTCACAAATGAAGAAGGGAGCAACGAATTTGCAAAAGAGAAAGGCAGGCACCCTGGATGGTGAACCATTCTTAAAACTGATACACTATCCCTTTTAGAAGATATAGAAGGCTAATAATCAATAAATGAATAATTTACTAGAAATTTTGATTTTGGATTATCAAAGGGGTAGCAGTCTATCATTTGGGAGGTCTTTGTTTAAGTTAAAAAATTAGCTTTTAAATATGAAAATAGATGGCAAGGGTGTGTTATGGATGGTTAAGAAAAAAAAAAGTGAAATTTATTAAAATACACCTCATTTTTCAAATATTTACCATTTTACTCATTTTCTACTATCCCAAATCTAAATTATGTCCATTTTGATGGGACGTTTTAAATTAAATCAAAGCATGTAGACAAAATGTTAAAATAGTCAATATCTTAAGTATATTTTGACAAATTCTCCAAGAAAATAAAGAATCCGACGTAACCTTAGTTGTGCTAATAGTGATTAGTCGGCCAAGATTGGTTGTGACATTCTTGTGAATAGCTCTAGTAATGGGCCAAGTAGCCCAGCTACGCTCTCAAAACTAGGGCCTAGGCCATGAGATGTGGCCCGAGGGCCAGGCCACGGCCAAGGCCACAACAAGGACTGCCCCAATTGGACCCTTTTTTCTTACTTATTCTCTCTTGTTTTATTGTGTTGTATTTAGCCCCAGCCTACCCATCCTTGATAGGGCCAGGCCAAGGCCAGGGCCAAGGCCCCTTCAGCCCGGTTGAGGCTGGGCCAAGCTAGGGTCGACCCTATTGGGATTGAAAGAAAGACCTATGTGATATTTTACCAAAAAGTACAAATTTTTTTTTAATGATAATAATTACCCCTTTTTTATTTTGACAAAAAGATCACTTACAAATGGTCTTATTACAATCAATAAATATTTTAAAATAAAACAGCACAACAATAAAATAAAACTCAACCACTTGATGCCATTTATTCAAACTAATACTATGCTTGAGAATATAAAATAAAATAACTAGAAAGTAAAAGAGAATATGCCGGAGATTACTTCAACCGGGCTTATTACACCCCATACCGAGTCACCACATCCAATGGCGCTGGATCAGCGATCTAGCTTTAATCTCGAACTGAGAAAGCTAATTTTGACCAAACTAGGTAACCACCCATAAATCTCTATAAAACCCTAATCCCAAAATTAACTAAAGCTTTAACCCTGATTTCTCAAACCCTTAGTATCTTGAGGTCAAGAGAGAGAGAGTAGTATACTTAGGGTTGGGGCGTGCCCCTATGGAACTTAAGAGAGAGAGGGTTAGAGAGAGAAAGCCTGAGAGGAGAGAGAGAGGTGTGGCCCTTAAGGTGGAGAGAGAGAAAGTTTATGGGAGAGAGAGAGGTGTGTAGAGATGAGGGGAGAACACCCCTATTTATAGTGAAATTTAGGTCTAGGGTTTCTCATAGTTTGTCTATTTCTTGAGATTGAATATTGACCGTTGATCAAGGTGACTTGTGGGGTGAGAGATCTAAGTCATCCATTCCATAGATGGGCCATCAACATTATGGAAGGTGCATGAACCATTATCCTCATTTCCTTAAACCATTTTTCCATCAATATATTTAAATAAATTAAATCCATTAGAGATATCATGCATTCCACAAATCGCATTATCCATCTCATATATTCCAAAAGAATATATCAAAAAATATCAAGTTAATATTTCCTATCTTAAATATATAGGATATGGTCAATATTTACTATATTACAAATTGACTATATGTCATAAGATACACTTTCCATATTTAAATAACTTGAACACAAAGCTATAAAAAAGGAATCCAAAGGGGTGGGGCGTGCCACCCCTATGTGGCACATGTGGGCCCCCACCCACATGCCACATGGTGGGCCCATGTGCACTATAGGCCCCCATAGAATTTTATAAAAAAAATTTGATATATATTTGAATTTTTTATAACTTTATAAAATCAATAACTGTATTTTTATAAGTCCAAAAATCATAAATAAAATATTGAGAGATTCATAAAAATTCAAATAATAAAGCTAAAATCATTTCAATAATAAAATGAACACAATTAAATTAATATGATGGGAAAAGGATCCATATGGTTTTAGAAATTCAATCTATAATTATGGGGTACTCCACCTTCAACTGCGGACTACAGACCACACTTATTTTATCGAATCGACCCAGTGTTTCCCATAATTCACAATCCAAGCAGGGGCTCATTAGCGGGTTACCAAAGTTTGCCCGATGAGTCAAGGGATCGCAATCCCAGTCTGTGGCTTACAAGTCCTCCCTTAGAAACGAGTCAAGGTCACTACAACCTGATACGACCACATCTCTATGGTGCATAGGGGTATCTCTCGCACATGCTACGCTTCACCCAAAAGGTGGATAACTGGCTTTCCCCAACGATCTATCGATATGAATGCCGTGTAATGGATCATGGATGAGGTTTTGGCCCCCGTCTCTGTAGGCCTACCATCATACACAAGGGTCACATAGTCCATCGGCTTACTCATCTAAGGCATAAGCTCTGATCTCATCAAGGGCTAACCCAAAAACCCTTCTCGGTTTATTCTTTATGACCAGGTACCTTGGGTTTTCCAACTGACTGGTTTAGATTGTCAAGCACAGTCCATTATCAGTAAATATCATTTGCTTAGTATGGTCCTCAAGGGACCACACTCCCACTGAGTTTATGTTCCACTATGTTTTTTATTACACACTCTTAAAGCCTTTAATGGCCACATAAACCCAATAGGGATTAGGGCCAGCTAGGTCCAAGGCTGGCCCAACCCTTTGTGAAAGGGACTAACCCTCTCTTAGTCTTGTCGACATTTGTTTTCCAGTCAATCAAAAGTTGGTGTGTTTGGGGGCCACAATTCTACATTTGCATCCGTCTACGCATCAAACATTCGTCCCAAGGATGGATGTAAAAAATGGTAGTCCCACATAAAAATAAAACTTATGGTCTAAAGACTGACTTCAACAAAATTTATTTTAAAATTTTAAAATTTATTTGTTTATATTCATTAATGCTTCCCATGTTAGATACTATACATTGGCAAAAAAAAAATTTAAGTTCGAAATCCATCTCAATAATGGATTGGCGAAAGGGGGGGCATATATCCGTGTCCGCCGTCTCATAAAAACCATGTCCATTACTCATGGTAAGGTTTGTATAAGGTGCCCTCCTCATATTGCGCACCTCTAAAATTTGATTAGAGATGTAGATTTGGTATCAGAAACATCACGATGGTTTAAAATCTATTTTCATCTTTAATTATGAAATTTAAAATATCAAACAAATCTATAAATGCTTAAATTTTTTAAAAATAAAAAATTCAGATAACTTATTAGTCAAGGAGGGGCAATGGGTCGGGAGGCCTAGCCCTAAAATATTAGGGCTTGAATGTCCCCCTCCAAGAATTGAACCGATGACTTATGCCTTACCAACCAAGGCGTGACTCTGGTCTTTGAAGGCTAAGGGCCAGGCGACCATGTCCTGAGGCCATGGTGGGGTGGGATGGGGCTTGGGTGGCCCGGTTCGGCCCGTAGTTTACCATTTTTTGTCTTATTTTTCTTCATATAACACATCTAGGGGTTGAGATGATCTACTGGAGGGTTCTCCAATGTCAAAACATTGTCTGCTGTTGGATTTTTGGATGGCAACCTTATATGAACTTTGGATGGGCCATTTTTTCGATAGTTGTGGGTTGCAAAGGGCTGCAACATTAAACAATCAAAGTACAGTGCAATTCCAAATTTTATCATCATATGTAATTTTGGTATAAAAAATTATTAAGATGGTGCGAAAATCTATTTTTACTTTTGCTTATATAATTTTAAACTTCATATCAACAAATGAATAAAAATCTTGTTCAAATCAAGCATATCAATAAATGAATAAAAATCTTGAAAATAGACAATGGAGACCATGCAAGACGTAGTATTCTTAAGATATAAAAAATCTACGTCTAGTTCATCGATCAATTAGTCTTTTTCAGAATTTGATAGGTGCACTAATTCTGTATAACCTTTTGCCTTTTCCATCCGAATGGCAAAGAGTTTTTTTACTCCGGCGGGGTGTTTTCTCATGGATGTTTTGTAGCGTTGCACCCTGAGGTTGGAGTGTTGTCCGCTGCATTTGTGCCTCGGGTATCTCAGCGCTGGACCTCTGCAACTTCTTCTGAGAGCCTCCAACCCTGGCTCCAAATAATATCACCTAACCCAAGAAGAGAAAGAAAGAAAACCCTAGAGATGCTCCTCCGCCTCTCTCCTCCTGCTTCGACTCTCCTCCTTCTCTCTCCCCATCACTCTATTAAACTTCATCAGCCATGGCTGCACAGTCGTGCGATCAGAAAACTTCAACACAAGGTATCAATCTCTCTTTCCTGTTTCTTTTCCTTTTCTATTGTTTTTTTTTTTTGTTATTTATTGATATAGCTGCATGTACCGTGATCGTAGATAGAAATTAACTCGGCGAGCTTGAAACTTGGAGCTTAACATTTTAATGGGTAGTGAGGTTGGATGGATTTTACATAAGAAGTTCTGGTTTCATATTACTTTACTTGAGCCCTTTAGCTGAGACTCTGAATATTCCATAAAACCGCAAATGAAGAAGGGCTATTATCTGTATTCACTCTGAAATGATGTATCTGAATTCCATTTCGATTTTATATAGTAAAATTTTGGCAAATTTTCAATGTTTTCAATTTCAATAGTAGTTATCAGTTGCTGAATAGTCCTCATGTTACAGCCTAATAAATCTGGTAAATGGTGATTAGTGACATTAATCATGACTATTGGGACATTGTGGAACCATAATTCTTGGTAAAAGGGCAGGAATGCATGGACAGATTTTGATTTCAGAACATTGGTATGAATTGCTGTGGTACAATGTATACACGGAACGTGGATCAGTTCAATTAACTGTGGATTATTGTTAGAATGTCAAACACAAGTTGCTAGCTGTCCCATTATCTCTACCAGTAGTGGATGACTGTCGCAAAATAAAAACTCTAGTTTTTTGGATCAGTGCCTGCCAACTACTTCAGGTGCTAGTGGATAACTCTTAGATGCAAAACTAGTGTTTGGTAGCAGTGCCATTTAGTTCAATTTCTGTTACAGTATAAAACTCTATTTTCTTATATTGCAGGGAGGGCATGGAGGGGTAATATGTAGAGCTGAGCTCTCTCAAGATGCACCCTTTGCCCTTGCAATCGAAGCCTGCATTCTCAATTCACTGATTTTTCCAGTCCCCAAAAGTGAACCCAATGAACAGGGCTCTGGTCTTGACTCAAGTGACACGAGGTTTGCAGCCATGGGGATCATCAGCTTCATTCCCTACTTCAATTGGATGGTGGGTTTTATCATGGACTAACTATATGTTAAGCATTTAAAGCTGCTGATTATTTATTTATTAAGTGTTCTTGCTTGCTTGGTAGAGCTGGATATTTGCATGGTTGGATACTGGAAGACAACGCTATTTGGTGTATTCCATTGTGTACTTGGTTCCTTACTTGAGGTATGCAAGTTTTAGATCAACTAGTCAACTAATTTACTAAAAATTCAATTATATTAAATTGATTTAAAGGAACCCATTAGCTTTATTTTAATTTAATTTCATGAAATATTGGTACATTTATGGTGTAGGTCCATGTTCGAAATTTAGGATTTAGAATTGCTATGAGCCAATTGGGAGATGCTTCTTCCCCACATTTTTACCCGCCAATAACTTATAAATCAGCCCAAGCATCAGATTCTGATCAGGGTAACTTGTTTCCATACAATATATTTACCCATCAAACTGGCTGTCAACAGTTTGTTGCCAAATTTTCTTTGAGCAGAGGAACTCAATTCAGGCCATATGTTTCTGTACAATGTAGTCAAGACTTGGATAACATTGCCAAAATTAGTGGGAAAATTGAGACGGAGGACATCACATGATTGGGAGAAAAATGGAAAAAAGAAAACGACGATTCATGCCAAAATTTTCCTGTACGTTAGCCAAAAATAGGGATACAAGGACAGTACCATTAAGACCATTTAGCCATGGTAATGGTTTCAATCAGAATCTAGAACGTGCTCAAATTTTGAAAACTATGGTTGTGCTTTTCCTGTTTCTATTTTTGGTTCTTTATGCATTTTTTTGAGGACATGCATGTTTTAAAACTAGTGCATTTTCACTACTTTTATAAAATTATTTATTAAGAGTGGATCAATCTTAATTTGCTGATACATAATCTCGGGCTCTTCCTTCTTGCTCTTGTCATTTTCTGAAAAAAAAAGTAAAGGGGTAAGTTCAAGATGGCCATACTGGGAAACTGGAAACTGACAAATGATGAGAGATTTAAGCTGGAGGCTCCTTATAAGATAGCATGCACTTGAGCATTTTGCCATGATGGCAGCTTGAGCTGCAGCAATATAATTTCACTCATTTTACAGTACTTGTGTCCATCTCTATGATATAAGTATTAACTTGCACCAAAGTTGTCCACACATGCTTCTTGCACACCACCTCCCACACGCGCCCCTCCCCTCCTTTTTTTTTCCCCCTCTTCTTCTTCGTTTGATAGATCTTCTTGCACCACTCTCCTCTTCGGGCTGTTAAGTTAAAAGTATTCTAATCCCTTGTTATGCTATTGCTTTTGTTGGTTGATTGCTAACTCTACTCTGCTAACCAGCTGTATCATTGGCTTTTAATTACTTTTTGAGTTGCAGGGGTGAAGCTTTTTTTCTTCATGTAGGCTATGGCAACAGTTGTGACTCATTCTTTTAACAGATGCACTGGCTTTGCCTTTGGTCGTCACTCTGGCAGCTTGCATCTTTACTTTCATATACGGTGTTTGCATGTGGACTTAAATAGGTTGTGAGTCTGCCTACTAGATGGCCTGATTCTTGTTTCAGCTGGTTTTACAGGTTGTCCTTACGGGCTTGGTAGATTGGTGTCTGTTGTATGTTAGTGTTATGGAACTCTATCTCAAACCTTAGGTTATGAGTTGAATCGCCAAGTCTAACTAGGGTTTGGGCACCACAGTCAAGTCGCTTGAGCTCTTCTCCTTGATCATTAGGTTCAGATATTCATCTTCGATGCTTTTCCTACCTAATTGGTAAAAAGAAGTGGGAAGAATTATGACTTTATTGAGTTACTTTCTTGTTTAATACCCTAGGATTAGGTGAAATACGCTTTCCTTGGTTTATGATTTCTTTGTAACCATGGACTCACATAAGCACATCTCTAGTATAGACAGTATTCACGCCGGTTATGATGGGCTACTTATGTTATGTTAATTGTAACAGAAAATATGTTACCTAACGCTTTCATCTAAATTATACACATCTCTCTTTGGTAGGAAAAAGATCACATGCATTTGCTTTTTACAGCAAATGCTTCTTTGTCATTTTTGTTTTAAGATTGATAATGAAGAGCATTGGCTTAAGTGCTAGAAAAGTGGGTAGATGATGGGATACAAAGAGAAGTACGCTTACTTAACTTAACTGGGTCTGAGTAGAAGTGCTATGTTTTGGCTCTTGAAAAGTCAGGTTAGTGTTTTTGGATAGTGTTGCAAAGATGTTGGCCCCTCTCTCATTTCTTGTCAGAATATTTTGCAATGAAAGGGAAAATAAAGAATACCTTACGGGCATAAGTAGAGTTTTGATTATAAATGTATCGAAATTGTTATTAGAGTTTATGTTGTTGTTTCAAGCTATAGACGAGGCATTAAAATCTGGATTTCAATATGGCATATTTGGAGCATACTGCAATACCCTGTTTCTCATTCTTTAATATGACATACAGGACGAATTTGTCCCTTTCACCCGAGGAAAGCTGGCTTCCTATTGCTAGCATCCTCTTCTGTATTGTCCACATTCAGGTATGGCTTCTATCACAGCGTTCTTGTTTCTACTAAAACGAAAAGGCCCTCATCTCATTCTTAAGGTTTGCAGTTGGAGGCAAATATAAGTAATGGAGATCTGCAGAGCTTCCAACTCTTTGGCGAGGCTCTCCAGCAACTTAAGGCTGTCATTGGAAAGAAAGACGCTCATCATCACCACTCCCCACAACGCAAGGGTGTATGTTTCTTGAGTTATAAACTTCCATGATTAAGCTTTAGAACAAAAGAAATGAATTTGGTTTATCAGGAGTTTATCTGCTTTCGAGTATGCTATTGATATTTTTAGGAAGTATACCATACCAGTGGTGGTGGTGTGTCGTACACAGTGGTGGTGTGTCATATGCAGTACACCATGAGGCGTCCATTGTCCATTCCTATGATGGATGGTGGATAATAACCATACATTATGAATATTAACAATTTTGCATAATTAACAGGAGAGCAAAAAGAAACATGAGAAGCTCCCATCAAAGCAAGAAAAGACCATAGATGAGTTTCGAGATTGGGTTGGAAAGAGGGAAACATTGGATGATAAAATTTTCATTGAGAAAGATGATGTTACAGAAGCTGAGGATCATCATGATTCGGATGAGCATGCATAACCCATGTGAAAGATATGGATTTAACCATTATTTTCAGATATGTAAGGTGTCAGATTCATCCTTGCTGATACCAGAAACTCGCTTCTGTGGTATGGCAAATGAAATTACATGGCAGTACTGTGCTTTTGGTTTGGAAAGAGCTGCAAGTTGTGTTCTGTAATAAGTAACTTTCACAAATCATTTCAAATGAAAGAGTTTTGCCCTTCATTGGTCTTTGCTTGTTATTGTTTTCCCAACCATTTTAAGGGAAATTGCGATTGTGGAAGCCATGGCCGGCTGAAATCTTGAGCATCGACATTTATTGTTTTGGTGATTATCTCTTGTAGTGTTGGTTATCGTCTCTCGTGTTTTACAAGAAAAAAATGACCATCTACTGGGTACAGGGACAAGTGAACTTACCAAACCAACCCTCAAAACACTCTCAAACGAGCAAATACAGGGACAAGTGAACTTGCCAAACCAACTGTCAATACACTCTCAAACAAGCTTTGCTCTATATAAAAGCACAAGTTGAGGCTTTTTGCTGCCCTCTATATAAAAGCACAAGTTGAAGAGAGCTTTTTGCTTCCCTCTAAAGCGAGTGCTTTGATGTTAATTCATAGTATATAATAAACCATGGCATCTTGATACCTCCTGTCTGATCCTGATGATGCATAATAGCCTTCTTAATGTTTGGGTATTGTCTATAGTTATGTAGAAGATCCAGACTTTCCAAAACAATGCAACAGAGCCTACCGATATGTTCTCTTAGATGCGGATCCTGTGCATCAGGGACTTCAGTATATCATATGGAGTCTTTTGCCAATCAATCTTACAATGAGTCGAGGTTTGGCATACCATTCAGCAAGACTTAAAATGGAGTTTTTCACCAAACATTGTCAATATTTTGGCATCTTTCCAGTCTCAAAATCACCCTCATTTTCACATGCGTCGAACATGGCTGCTTCTTCCTGTATTCAATGATTTCTATCATGAAATTCAATAAGCTTTTTGTTTTGTCAAATGATTTCATTTGGATGCCATGTGCAACTGCCTTCTATGATATTGCAGATGCTTTCATGTCTCCATTTTGACGCTACATAAAGAAATTGGATCTCAAATTGTATTTTGACACGAATCATTTACCGATACAATTGACAACTGATTCTCGAAGGTTGCTTCAGACACCACATAGTGAAACGGTTATTCCATGTGATATTCATTGTGAGAATTTATCAGGGAACAGTTCATATAGGACACTAGCTTTCACAGGTAAGAAATGTTACTGAAAAAATGTTTTCTGAAAACCTGAAAATGATGATATGGACCTGAATAAATTTGGATATAAAATTTCAAAAGATCATACCCTAAAAATGTTGCATTATTTGGACGGTCTATTTTCAATTGTGCATAGATCTACTAGATTTGGATCAATTTTGAAGTTTCAAATTTAAAAAAAGAGGGTGGAGATCAATTTTTCAAGCCATTATAGGCGTTTTCAGCGCTGGAACCGCATTTTCTTGCATTATTTTCAAATGAAGTGATGTTTTTTTGCGGGAAGCCTGGGACTTGTGCTCACCGCACCAAAATTCTGAACAAGTTCATCATCATATAATTTGGAACCACCATTGTACCTCTTTTCCTTACTACACATCTTAAAAAGAAAGGCTCTAAACAATCAAATTTGAGCCTACTTCAAAAATTTCACTAGAAGAAGATGTTTTAATGCCCAAATATCTTTAAAATGACCATCTCGACATCAAGATACATGGACATGAGAAAAAAAAAATTGTATTTTAAATTTTTGAAATAGTATATTTTATAACGCATTTTTGGACCGTCAATTTTCAAGATTTTCAAGTTTTCATAGATCTATCGATCTACACTATTTTTGAAGCTTTAAACTTTATAAATAAATATGAAATTATATTTTAAGGCTATCACAAAGATTTCCAGTATTGAAACCATATTTTTCGACACTATTTGAAGGTAGGCTCCAATTTGATTGTTTAGAGCCTAGGCTCTATACAAACCGCACCCTAAAAAGAAACCAGATATCTCTACCTATGATAATCACCTTTGGTCTATAAATAGAGGAGAAAAGTGACAATTTGAGACAATCTAAAAGCCCTTAGTGAAAACAATCTCAAAGCCCTAAACAACCGATTATATCAAAGCAGCCCTGAACCATCAACTTAATCCATACAAATAAATACATCAAGCTTGACTGCATGTGCCACGAGACACGGAAAACTAAATCTAAAAAAGCACTTCCCTGAACCATCAAACTAATCCATACAAATAAATACATCAAGCTTGACTGCATGTGCCACAAGACAGAAACTAAACCTAAAAAAACCTTCATTAGGAAATGTCATATGCAATAACACCAACATTACAATCGCAAGTACGGTGTAGATTCCAAAGAATCAACATATATCACAGAGATGACTTGAGACCTCAAACGCTGATTGCTGGCTCAAACAGGCTCTCACAATTATTTATCTTCTGTGAAGGCTGCAGAGCTACTTGGCTGAGTCCCTCAATGAATAGTAGGGAAGAATCATAAACCCAAGAAGCTTAGAGTACTTCCTTGCCCTATTTTCCAGGCTTGGATAGAACTATACCATGTAGTCAAGGCAATCTGCAACTAGGGAACTAGTAGGTGAGGACCACCTTATCAAGAGAGAGAGAGAGAGAGAGAACCTCGATTTTAAGGCTACCATCAACACAGCAGTGGATGATTTTCTTTACAAATAATTTACTGGGTGCATATATCAACTGTACTCCTTTTCTTCTTTCCTAATCCTATCTTCTTCGCGGCCATGGGCCTCAGTCAGCTGCTGCTGTAACTAGACACCCAGAAAGCCAAAATGTTTAGGATATGAGAGTGATTTTGTCAGCAAGCAAAGAAGAAACTCAATTAGATAAGTAACAAAGTTTCAGTTTCCAATAATTTTCTGGTTACCAACTAAAGAACAAGGATTTAGTTTAAGAAACAGTTGTACACCTGAATTTGTTAATAAGTGGCAAAAACACGCAATGCATTGAATACAAATGATATTATAACTGTTCTAAATGATACGCCCTAATTATGGTGCTCGAAACACAAATGAAATTGCATGGGTGTGTTTTTATTCTCTTTTCCTGATAGATATTTAAAAACACGGAAACTCTATATTGATAAAGAAATAAAAACAGTCAGTCAAAGTGTTGAATGAAGCTTGAGTTATTAGTTCTTATAAATGATCAATGATTGAAGAAATCTCTTTTAGATGAAACAGCTGCTTGAAGCTCACCTGTACATGTTTCAGCTTTGCAGCTGTGAGTTCATCCGTCAAATTTATCATCCTACAAAAACAATGCAATTAATGGCAGTACTTAAATAACTTAATAAACAATTATCTTTTTTATTTCTTATTCTGTTTAATCAGCGAGAGAAAGAGACTGACAAAAGATTATCAAACCAGACAATTTGAGGCAGCTGAAGAGAAGGTACCTATTTTGAAGCTCTGCAACTTTGACTGACAATAATCGCTCCCTTTCAGAGACTGCTGGATCATTCTGTCAAAAATTTAGACTGAGTGACTATCTGAATTCATAAGAGAAGCATAATGACATATATGGGCAACCATGGCAGTCAAAGATAAAGGAGAATGGATATCTGATGCAAAATCTGTGTCCGGGCATCTCCATGTAGAGATGCTCGTGTGTGTGCGCACTCAGGGGTATGAAGTGCTGACCTTTGAACTAATAGAACACATGAGAGTCAGATACCTACATATAGACCTATAGACACGCACATTTGTGTCCACAAACATACACACATGAGAGCATACGCACACATCATACAGTAGTCAGTGGTACTGTGTGGAATATGTAACAGAATGCTATGGCTTTGTGTACAATTATTGAACAGTTCAGAAGGCATGAGCAACAAATTGGAAAAGATTTAACAAAAAGATAACTGTAGAATAGCATAGAATACTTACTGAAGAATCACTGCCCAAACTTTGAGTAGGTGGAGCCCATTTCCCACCTTGAAAGATAAAGCATAATCATTAACTTAACTTCATAATAACAACTAAACTAAACATCAGAAAAAATTTGAATGCAATATACTTTCAAGGTCTTCAACTAACCTTCAACCAACTCTGTTTGCTGTACAGTGCGCAACAAGTTTGCTACAAGATCCTGAAAGTCAACAATGCATTTTCTAAGTGAACGGTTCTGTGAATATAGGACTTTTGTTGTTCAGTAGAAGAATCAAATGAAGGGAAGCATCTCCTTAGTAGGGGAAGCATAAGATACATCGATGGTGTCATTGTATGTGGCACACGAAAGGGGCATCAACCATCCATTCTCAATGAAGGGCAGTGGCGATTCACATTTGTGAGGCCCACAGGGACACTCACCAGAGTGCAGCTAACTTGCACCGCTCGTCATTGCAAAATGACAGAGAAGGTCCCTTTGATGTACCTCATAACCAAACACCATGACTGTATAGCATACTTGTCCTTCTCATGTATAGCATACTTGCCCTTCTCAATCATTTAAAGTTAATCTTCTTTACTTGCTGGAAAATAGTTTGCTGGAAAAGATTCTGAAGCTGTGGAATGAGGACCGACACGGGTATCGGCAAATTGCTAGCTTCTTTGGGTCGCTGAACAACAGGGCATACATGTGTTAGGATGCAAGTCGTTCTATAACATAAATGCATGAATACAAACTACATCTATGAGTCTAGCTTACTATATGATACTACATTTCCTCTGCTTGTTAGAGACCAGTATAGTTGTATTCTTTGGTTCTCGTTTTACTCTCTCTCTCTCTCTCTCTCTCTCTCCTCCCCACCCACCCACACCCCACTGTGTCTATAGCATTTATGTAAGAGGCAGCCCCACTACCAGTCCGAGATGAGTATAGTACTATTCATTAAGTGCTCCCCCAACCTCCCCCCACACACACCACAGTATCTATATCATTTGCTTCATGGATTGATCTAGTATGCCGTGACTCGTGCTCCCCCAACCTCCCTCCACACACACCACAGTATCTATATCATTTGCTTCATGGATTGATCTAGTACGCCGTGACTTGGTCATAGATCAGTATAGCAGTATCCTTTGCTTATAATTGCTCCCTCCCTCCCTCACACACCACTTTCTACAGAAGTTGCTTCATGGATTTATCTAATAGGCATTGACACAGTCATAGATCAGTATAGCAGTATCCTTTGCTCATGATATTGCTCCCTCCCTCCCTTCCTTCCTCCCACACCTTAATGCTTATATGGTATGGAAAGAGTTCGCAAGCCCTCCTTCCCTCCCTCCCTCCCTCCCACACACAGCCACACGGGATAGAGTTCATAATCACTGATGATAGTATCAATAGCTTGAATTGTGTTTACGGTTTGCGAGGATCATTGAACCATCACATGGTAGTATGTTATGTAGACAGAAGTAAAATAAAAAATGTATGTGTGGACCGTTTGCTTAGTGTCCACCAGCCAATCGCCCACGCTCGCAGATTTCCTTAGAGGAGACCCCTGAAACAAAAATGTCAATATGTGAGATGATAAGCAGTGTGACTAAACAAATTACATATAAATGGGCTTCTGATATTATATAATGACCTGGGAGGATCTTCGAGAAACAGAGCACAATGGAATATCCTGCATGAATGCCTCATTTTAGTTAAGAACAGGAGTAAAGAAGTTAACTAATTATTATCAGAAGAAAACATAGTAAGGAATACTTTTAAGAAAAGAAAACAGTAAAGAACGAGGAGTGTAGAGAATCAACACATTACCTTGACACGGTCAGCATTTTCAGATGTAATTGAAAACCGACCTTTAATTTGTATAACATTTGCCTTGGTTTTATCATCCAAACCCTCTCTAAAACCTATGCAGAAAACAGAAGAAACACTATCATTTTCCATGCCAAAAGTAACAACTGATTCATCAGATCTAAATGCTAAAAATATGCCAGAAATTGTTGAGTGAAAAAAATGAATGGGAAAGCATACTATAAACATCCAGTGCATGGCATAAAGTACACGGTGTCCCCTGTACGTTTTCCAGAGCATCCACAATCCATTCTTGAGATTGTTGGTTGATGCCGTAGATGTATTATGCAAGTATGATATACCTCAAAAAAATTTGAAATGAAGCTGTAAATAAAAAAATAATCCAGACATCAATTTCCTACCACCTGATGATCTTATCGGTGCTGACAAACTATTTGCAGATGCACGACTTGGAAGCATCAGTGGGCCACTAAGGTTTGGTTCCTTGCGCCCATCATGCTTGCAACCTCTCTCCATAGCTGATGGATAATCACCCTCATCTCTAGGGAAAATGAACAGATTCAGCTAAGTTTACAGCACAACTTGACATCAAGACATATTGCTTCTCTATTGCATTAGAGGAAGATAAAATAATAAAATGCAAAGAACAAATCTCTCAATCCTTAAAGTTATGATAAACCAAATATATCAACTAAATGCATTAGTCTCCTAACATCAGAAACTTTTTTCTGGAGAGCACTATTACATATCTACATAAGCTAGATCAAGAAGGCATCAAAATTCCATAGTTAATTGGATCGGGAGTGAATAGGCAGGGGATAGGGACTGGGAGAGAGGGGGGTGGGGGATCATGAAAGGCTAGAAGATCCCTGTGGTTTGGAGCATTGTCCATAGAATGCATATATAAGAGATCAAGATCTCTAAATCTTAGTGGATCTCTTGGTCCAACCTTTGGGGTGTCTCAATCCCCAAGCTTTGGATCCAGATCACAACCTTTTGGAATCCTGCTGCTGACCTTTAAAGGGTATATAGAGTCTAGGACTATACATACTCTTTAAAGTAGGGATCTCTTTGTTTGTAGCCAGCAAGGAATCCAACTATATTAAAAGTATAGTTGCATTGTTAGCTGGCTTAAAATCACCATTTTGGTTATCTTGGTCTTTAGGGTGGGGATTGAGATTTTGTTAATAGTGGGGATCAAAATCCCTAGTATATGTTTGGCAACCCCATAATATGCCTAACATTTCAGGATATTGTAGAATCTACATCTCAAAAGATGTGATAAGAGCCTTTGACCTATTTGATTGACCAAAATTTTAAATTAAGAGAATAGATACTTATCTCAATCCTACAAATCCAAGTCAAACTTGAATTTTGCGGGATTCAATTCTCCATCTTTCAAGTCGAAGATGATGCGCTCCCCTCCTCTCCCATGAAACATCCCTTTCGGGCCTTTTCTCTCTCTAAACAGCCTTTTCTCTCTCTAAACAGCCTCTCTAAAACTTGAGTCTCACCCTCTCATCTCTCCTAATCCCTAGCGCTCCAAAACTCATTGATACCACCCTGCTTTAGTAGGAAAACATATCAGCTATAGAGTTCCCTCTTCTCAGAGATGCCAACTTACAGAGGCCCCTCCTATTGGTAACCAATAAGTCAAGCAACAAAATCAAAGATTTTAGAGAGAAATAATATACAGTTGATCTTTTTCATTTCTCTCTCTATAATTGGATTTTAGTGTTTTCCTCTCTCAAAAATTGGCTCTCCTCTCTCTCTCTAAAATTGGATTTTGGGGTTTTGACTTATGAAGATAACAAAGCATTCCGCAGAAGCAAAACAAATGCTTGAAAGGCGACAAGCAGCAAAAGAAGCTTCATTAACGCGTGTTCAAGAATAGAGAGATGATGCCCCTTTGACCATTGAAGAGGCTCACAGGAAGTATTGGCTGGAACACATTATCAGCAAATAAAAAATGACAAGCTAGATGTTTCTCCCGTTCAGAACACAAGATTCTAAGCCACTTGAATTTGGGTCACCAGGAATTGAGCCGATACCTCAGCTGAAGACGTTTTGTTATGAGATTTGATGCAAAAGGGCTCCAAAAATTCATCTCAGAAAACTGAAAGGCCCTTACACCTATAAGAGAACAGGCCCCGACTGCTTTGATTTTGCAACCAATCCAGCTCAATTGGACTCATTGGAGGGGCTCCATAAGGTTTGATGAAGCTCCCAATGTGTGATTGGGCTTAATGTTTGATGAGGCTGATGCTTTGTTTGGTAGAAGTTTCGGTGAATGAGCACATGACCTACAGGCCATGAAGACTTTCAATCAGAGAGAGAAAAAGCTCATGAGAGAGGAGCTGAAAGCTGATCCAAACGAGTTCCTGTTGATAAGAGTAATATAATGAGAGTGGATCTCAAAATAGCTGGTGAATTGTCAAATAGACCCAAAAAATCAATGATCAAGATATAATATAATTAAGATCCGTGAAAAGTAACAATGCTTTTATACAGATTTCCAAAATCATGAATGTTCATAATCATCTGTTATCAAACATACCCTAACATATGGGATCGAGATCCAGAAATTTAAAAATCGAGGTCCTTTGAAGATTCCCTTTTTGGGGTTGGCAATAAGGTTGGGTCGACTTGAACTAGGGCGGGGTCCAGGTCCCTCTTTTGGACCCGGCAGGTCAGGTCCAAGTCCAGATGACTTGGACCCAACCCTGGTCGGGTCTGGCATGACACTATTGACTGACCCAATATAAAATATATAAATATACAAAACATATATTATACAATATATAAATTAAATATAGTTTTTTTAATTTCTAGACCCAGGTCTGGGTCCAAATGACTTGGACCCGACCCGGGTTTGGTTCCAAGTCACTTGAACCTTAGTCGGGTTGGGTCTGGGTCGGAGTCGACCCGAACCTGACCCGAGCTTTTTCCACCTCTATCCGTTTCCCAAAATGCAGGAGAGAGATTCTGGACATAATCAGCACCTAGGTGAAGAGATCCCAGCACATGAGTGTGATAATAGCATGTTGTGTGGCTTGGATAGGAACTCAAAGAGATCCCAGAACATGCATGTGATAACAGCATGTTGTGTGGCTTGGATAGGAACTCAACCCACTTTTGTTTATAGGGTTGGATATGGATCTCAGACTAGTTTGTTGTATTTCACTTAGTGTGGAGGGTAGAATATTTTGGGATCCTAAAACCAGGAGAGACCATAAGGATGATAAAAGGGATGACTGCCAGGCCATTATAAGAGGGCTGGAAGAGATTTACACACTGATATGTGGCATTGATAGAAGGAATGGACTCTGCAAAGCTGAGGAATCTTCACAACTAGGCCTTTCTATAGAGTTCTCAGGGGTGAATCGAAATCTTCAGCCACTTGTAGATTGGTTCAGAGTATTCCAGTCTACAGCCAAGTCATTGCTTTTGGAAGACTTACTGTAGAGAGAGCATCCTGACTATGAATCAACCTTAGAGGAAGGGAATGCTCATGCCTGATATGTGTATCATGAGCCAGGACTGCAAGCCTCTGGATCATCTGTTGCCTCATCTCCTCTGTTGCTCATATATTTGGGTTTACATCATGGATCTCTTGGCTTCAGTTAGGGTAAACCAGCCTCTGTTTCTTGCTTGTCTTGGTGGGACTTTTGGGCCATTCCAAATGGAAGGCTATTTGTTATGGCCGATGTGCGAATTTCATGCTCAAGGCATAATAGTTGTAGGGAAAGAGCCTGGGCTTAATTGGTTAGTGCTTGACGATTTGCAATGCTACATCCTAGGCTCAGTTCCTACTATAGGTAGGGGCCCTCTCCCCACTGACTCACCAAAAAAAAAAAAGGCATAATAGCCATCTTCAGGGATCCTTTGAAGCCTTAATAGAAGATTACAAATATGACATCCAATGCACAGTCTTAACCAATTAAAATAGAGCTTGACATCCGTCAACTGCAGTAAGAATTCGCCTAGTTTGTATTTAACAGTAGCAAAAGCTAGTTTAGCACAGTCTTCAAGATTAAATGTAGAGAACTTACTCTGCCGCTAAATAGGAATGAAATTCAAGCAGTCGTTTAAAAAACGGATCGGTGCCCCGGATCGAGCATCCCAAAAACCCATCCGGATCGATGAATCGGCGATTCGGATCAAGAATCGAACGAATCGGTTGGATTAAGCCTTAAAAAAGTCCAAAAAAATTATTAAAATTCATTATAAATGTTGTTTTTTAGGAATCCAATAAGAAATGGGACTCCATTAAGAATTTTCATTTTTTTGCATCAATATGCGAATATTGAGATGTTATTTCCCTGTACGAATTACTGTTAACCCTTAAATTTATATCACACAAAAGAAGAAACATTGAATTATCATGGATGAAATATATAATCATATATGGACTACAATAAATTAATAATACAAAGAACAAAAATAATACATTATAATACTTTATAACACAAAAAAAATTAATAAACAAAATACAAGATTTGATTATCAATGTACAATTATTATTTATAATATTATAACAACTATGATTCGAAAAATATTAAAAAACACTTCCATATCGTACGATAAAAATTAAAATAAATTCCCTTATAAATGTGAATATTATGACATTATAAAATTATTCAAGAAAAGATTTTCACCTAATAATACAAACTAACAATGTCAAAATTCAGAAAAAAATAAAAAGCAAAAATAAATACATATCATATATCCTAGTATTTTGCAAAGTATAAGATATACGCTACAATTTTTATGTCAATAAGCGTTCGCAAGGGGAAACTGAACCACATCGTTCTCATTGAGAAGTAAATCTACCTCTAAAAGGTAGAGAATGCATTAGAATGGTAAGAAAATTCAACGCGTGAGAGAGACATGACCAATGCTTTCCATGGGCAGTGATGACGTGGCTCCAACATGGGTACATTTTTAATGATGAGGATGGGAAGTTGGGAAGTGATGACGTGTGACATGCGAGAACCAGTTGAAATTGTTAGTGAACCCGTTGAAACCACCCGTGTTACTGTAGCACAGGCGTGTTTTCGCTTAAAACTCGGCGACTCTCTCTAGACATGGGCGCTTCTGCTTCTTTTACGTGAACCGACACGGGGTGTCCAAAAACCGTGTCGAACCAGGCGACTCCGATTTGACTCGACGACTTTTCAATCACTGGATTCAAGTCAAATTGAGGCCCACGCATGTCTGTGAAACAGCGATCGTAACTGATTTTAACTTAATTAACTGTGGCCAAAATCGTGATGAGCCTTTGTGTTTCTGAAACTTCTAAAACATGCAGCCAATCCTCATGAATGATGCTCAATGATCTCTTGGCTGATTAAGAAGTTTATTCACACTCAAATTTCAGAGTTTCAAGCCTTAGCTGAGGTCAAAAACAGAGTTTATGTCCCTCAACAGGCAGATGACCCAAGGTATAGAGATGAAGTTTCAACCAAGTGGAACATTCAAAAGTCAACCATCGCTGAAACCAATGTCACTGCAACGGATACCGCCATAGTTGCTCCAGAA